CATGAGAAGATTGGGCAAAATGGCCTATGAGGTCATTGTTGGTGCCAGAGTATGATCCTACAGCCCCAGAAGGATTTATCGTCATAGAAAATGTGGGTCGTAGTTCTGGTTCTAATTCTTTACTAGCTGTCTGATCCTGGACAAATGCTTTGAGCCTCAGTTTCCTCATCTATAAAATGCGAATCATAATAAAATTTGTCCCTAGGAAAGAGTTCCGCTATATAAATCTGAGTTATTATTATGACAGCTCGGTTGTAAAATCCTCGTGGACAGAGACTGACAATGCAGTCAGCAACACCAGAAAAATGCTAGGCATGTAATAGGTAACCAATAAACAGATAGACCAGTCCTTACAAGCAGTTATATATCTTAGAAAGAGTTTCAAAGAGAATCAGATGAGCAAGTCGCACATAAAACAACAGGCTTTTATTTCTACCCATTTTAACTCATCCAAAGAGAGGCTCGGGACCCAAAGCAAAACAGTCAATCAATAAACATTTATTAAGTGCCTACTACGTGCCCAGGTACTGCTAAGTGCTGAAAACACCTAAGAGTCAAGGAAATCGGTGGAGGGTGGAGGGGCAACCAGAAAGAAACAAATAGGACAATAGGATATGGTGAATGGAGAGACAGATTTGGAGTCAGGAAGATTTGGCTTCAAATCCTTTGGATACTTCACATAAACTCTTTGAATCTCAGTTTCTGAATCTATAAAATGAGGGGGTTGGACTCAATGATCTCTAAGACCCCTTCTCAATATAACTCTGTGAGCCTAAGAGCTATGTCCTACTCCCTCTTAAATAGCGGGAGAAGGATGGAAGGTCAACAGGAGGTAAGGCCATCAGTGACATTCTGGCAATGATGACTTGGAGCATCTAGTTCTGGCCATTTCTCTGTCACTTGTAGTCAGTGCAGGCAGATCATCAAGGTCATAACCACTTTCAGACCCAGAGAACCCAGAGAACCCAGAGCTTTCTAGGGAAGGGGCAGGTTTTTGCTGAGCCTGGCTGGTTGCCTGTATCTGATAGCAAAGGCAAGGAGAGACAGGCTAAGGGAGCCACACAGGAAGCATGAGAATGGCATACGGAAGTTGCCAGGAAAATGGCAGGAAGATGCCCACTCTTCAGTACGGACGCCACTCTGAAAGGTCCGAGGTTTTAGCCTGTAAGTCTACAATGAATCCTTATTGCCTCCAATAAGTAAATTGACAGTTAATATTCTGTCTCTCATCTACAAAGTGCTGGGTTCCAGAAGTCGGGACTGCATGGATTATAGTTCTTTGACATATCCCTCCCTATTCTAGAATTTCATCAAAGAAATACCTTCAAGCTTGCTACAATACAATTCACACAGAGCCACTAGGAATGATAATGGAGTCACTTTATCCTGGTATGGGGAAAGAGTCCTGAACTTGGAATCAGAGGGCCTGGTTTCCAAACCTAGCTTTTTTTTAAAGGCAATTGGGGTTAAGTGACTTGCCCAGGGTCACACAGCTAGTAAGTTTGGTCTGAGGCAGGATTTGAACTCAGGTCCTCCTGACTTCAAGGCCGGTACTCTATCCACTGCACCACCTAGCTGACCCTCAAACCTAGGTTTTCTACATACTACTTGTGTAACCCTGGGCAAATCATCTGCCTTTTCTAGGACTCAACTTCTTCATCTGTAAAATGAGAGAGTTAGACTGAATGGCTTCTAAATGGGTCTAAAATTTATGGTCTGATAAAGGTGCTGAAGTCCAGCAAGACGCCCAGAAAGATGATAGGAGCCTGTATTTGGAGGTGGGAGGGACCTCGGTGGCCTTGGACTAGAGTTGAACCCCTTTGTTTTACAGATTGGAACTGTGGCCCAGAGAGGTCTATTGATTGCCCAAGGTCACTCAGGGTCCTAAGTTGGGTTTTGCACCTATGTTCTTTGACTTCAAATCCAGCACCATCTCTACTTATAAACAGTACATCCAAGATGGCAACAAGGCCACAGGTCACTTTAAAAAACTAGAGATTTATGTTACAGTTTAGCACCCCCCCTTCCCCAGTTAAACTTCAAATGACTAATAACTTTGGGGAAATCACTGGTAGATTGTTCAGTTTCAGCAAAAAAAATTTCCCCTTATGCTGTTTCCAGGGATTCTCTCCCTCCAAACTCATTCCTAAACCTCAGACATATGGGTGTGTGTGTGTGTGTGTGTGTGTGTGTGTGTGTGTGTGTGTGTGTGTGTGTGTTTTGCACAGCCAGTAAGTGAATGGATGGCGGTGGGGAGGTTAGGGAAAGCTTCCTTCTCTAGGGCCTACCACTTTCTCAGCTGTTTGGTACAAAGTCCAGACCAGTCCCCACCCTGCCATCTCATCAGCCCACACACTTCTCGGGAACATAAAGCCATAAAGATGAGTATGATGAAGAAACAGTCATGGAAGTACAATGGTACTGAACTAGAAGTTCCAGGCCATTGGAAGGTGGTGTTTGTAGGCTTAGTAGGCCCCAGAGTAGAGCTGGGGGAAACACACACACACCTCAGAACCTCCTTCTTTAAAGAAGGACCCCAAAGAAGAGCAGAAAACATTCACAGCATACCTCAGAACCTCCTTCCTTAAAGGAAGACCCCAAAGCAGAGTGGAACACACACACACACACACACACCCTTTCCTTAAAGAGGAGGAGCCCACAGACAAAGCTGTTACCAAGCACACACAGCCTCTCGGACTTTGCCTTTCACAGTCCAGTGGCACAAGTGAAACTGGAGTCTGCAGGCCAGACACAAGAGATCCTTGGGGTGGGGGAGGAGGGGGTTGGGCTTCTTCAAAATGGGTTGCTTGAAATCCACACTCACCAAATACTCATTGGCTGAAATTTCTTCCCTTATGTCCTCTTACACACTGAGCAGTCCTGGGCTCACCATCAACCAGGATTCTCAGCCTAATTCTCACCTATTGAATTTTCCCTTCTCTCACTATGGAATCTGCAATGGGAACCCTGCATTTTCTTAGGAGGAGTTTATCCTTCCACTACGTAACACTACACATCCCCATCACAGGCCCTAAAATAAAGTGAGTGCCAGTTATATGGAGGAAGGGAAAAAATGCTGAGCTGGAAGTCAGAAAACAGAGGCTGGAGGGTTTTCTTGGCTCTACATCTTTTGGGGGTTGGACAAGATGATCTCCATTGGACTATTAAAATAGCCTCCTAATTGGTCTCCCTGCCTCCAGTCTCCTCGTCCCCAAATCATCTCCACACAGATGCCAAAGTGATTGTCCATAAACACAAGTCTGACCATGTTACTTCTCTGCCCAAGAAACTCCAGTGGCTTCCAACAGAATAAAGTCCTTCACAATCTGACTCTGAGACTTTCCAGAGTACCTTCTTTTATGCATTCTATGGTCCAGCCAAACTGGCCTTCTTGTTTTCCTCATACATCACAATGCAGCTTTCAAGAGGCCATTTAAATATAACCCCATTCATTTGCAAAATGAGGAAACTGAGGCTAGGTTAAGTAAATTGTCCAAGGTCACCCAGCTAGTCAGCAATTGAAACATCACTTAAACTCTTATTCTCAGACTCCAGAGCCTTGTCTTTCCATGGGCTCCATCCCATGTCTGGAGTGGAATTCCTCATTTCTGTGCCTCAGAATCTCTAGATTCCTTCAAGGCTCAGCTCAACTATTACCTCCTGCATACATGAGATCTTTCTTGATCTTCCTGGCTGCCCCCCAAATCCCTGGGTTTTTTTTTTCACACATATTTTGTATCTATTTAGTACCACAGCTCCTGAAGAGAACACATGGTTTCAGTTTCACTTTTTGCATATGGGCCCAACCTGTTCTTGACATATATGCGGCAGGCACTTTAAAAGTGCTTGTCTGTTTATTGACTGATAATCTCTATGGTCTTTTCTAGCTCTGACATTCTACAGGTGAATGAACTGTTATAATTCTACCCTGTTAGGATGAGGATGCTTACCCAGACGTGGTACTCCACTTAACCCCACCACTTTTCAGATCAGTCTGATGTTTGACCACACGCTAACCAAACACCAAGGGCTCACAGGCAGACATCAATCACACTGAGGAACTTCAAAGTCAGATGCACCCAGAGCAAGCACCCTGATGGAGCCTTTCAATCCTTCTCTCTTAAAATGGCAGCATCTGCCTTTGAGCTGTTCTGTATCCCAACCCCTAAGCCTTAACTGAGTGCCCGGGTCCTCAGGAGCCCCTTTTTTTTTTCTTTTTGAGATCAGGGCCTCTTTATACAATTCTGAGAAGGAGTATGGATAGAAAGTCCTCCCTGAGGTGAAAGGGCAAAAGCTAAACTTCAGGTAATCCACAACTCATTTCTTTCCTGCTTGATTGGTCAGGCTGGGGACCAGGCTGGGAGCCAGGGTGTGTGTGTGGGGGGGGGCGAGGGGTGAGGGTTCTTCCTAGGAGTCTCAGCCCATTTGAAGATTTACCTGGGGACGATTTAGGAATCCCTCTTGTCGTGGGGGAGGGGGCGCGGGGAGGAAGAAGGAAGAGCGGGCCACGTTTTAGCTCCCATTTGGAAGGGAGGAGGCAGGGTGGGTGTCCCAAGGTGGGAAATCCCCAGCCAGGTCTCAAGTTAATACAAGTGTCTCTCGGGGGTGGGAAAGAGAGGAGAAGGGGACAGGAAGTATAGTGGATGAAGAGGCTGCTCCAGAAGAAGGGGGCTGGGGATGGTGGTGCGTAGTGAGGGCAGCTGGGCTTGCTTTCTTCCTCTCTCCCTATCTAAGAGTTTCACCTAGAGGCTCCTGGCCAGACAAGCCATTCGAGTGGCCCAAGCTGGGGAGGGTGGTTCCTCGATCATCCTCTGGCGGTGTTAAGGGCACAATGTCTGAGGTCGGCCTTGTGGAAAGCGGACGTGGACCGGAGCTCTGGTGAGGATCAGCTCCAGCTACCCGAGCCTGTCCTGTCCTTCCCTCTCCTCCCTAGTATCCTCGAGCCGTAGCTCCTGCGGCCCCGCGCTAGCGCCACCCGCCTGCCCGCTAGTGGCTCTGACCTTGTGTCGGAATTCCCGGGCCACCTTCCTGTCCATTGTCAGGCCGGGCCGTGTCGCACCGAACCGCGCGACAGGGACAAACCCCTGGGAGGGGCAGAGATGGGACGGATGGAAAGAGCGGCTGCAGAGTAGATCTCAGAGCTGGGAAGCCGGCGGGGGGCGGGATACTGAGCCGCTGGGAGTGGAGTGCGCAGGTAGGCGCGGGGCGGTGCCCGTAGTGGTTAGGGGCGGGGACAGGGCTAGAGGGCGCGGCTGGAGGTCTTGGAGGGTTTGAGGGAAGGGGCGCTGAACTGAAAGGATTGAAAAGACTGTGGCCACTTGGGACCCACATCCCCAGAAGTGAATCTAACTCCTTAAGATACCCTTCTCTCCTCCCCAAATCACTCAGACAATAGGGGTCTGAAATGGCGAGTTAGCCAGCGGTCTCCAGGAGCTCCCAGCTCCTTATGGAGCTCAGAGTTTACAGAGCGTGTTCAGCAATCACTTGGGGGCCAGCTTGTGGCTCGGAGATCGAAGTACGACTCTCCAGGGCAGTCCTTGTTTCATTCACCTGGCTGTCCTCACCGAAGAAACCCTGACAGTTCAGGAAGGAAGCACCAGAGCCCATCTCCCCTTATCCCCCCCTACCCATTCCATCCCCCTCAACCCATCTCACTCCAAACCATCCCCACTCCATTACACCTCAGACTGAGAGAAGGGAAGAAAAATTGTGGGAAAGTCACGACGCAGGCAACTTACTCATATGAGTGACCCTTACATCGGCGAGGGAAAGGGTATGAAAAGTAAGTTGGACAGGAGGGGGTGGATAGGAGTAGAGAGGTGCCAAAGGAGGGTGGATCTGCCTAGAAGGCTAGCTTGGGACCAGGACTTGGTCTGTTTGCTACTTTTCAGAGAAGTGGGTGCAAGCTTGCCTCTGGGAGTGGATTTTCTAGTGTAACTAATGTGTTCTCACCTTACTTCCTCTATATTCCATGTATCCAGGGCAGACCTTTGAGTATTAGAGATATATTTCTTTGGGTGAATTCTTCATTGATTCCAATGTAAAAATACCCCAGGGAGAGGCAACAGGTTAGATTTATCATATATTTACACTTCAGTGTGAATTAGTTGTGTTGGCAGGGCATAATGTGAGGAGACAGGCTTTGTCTTATGTCATTCTTGAATTCTTATGAATTCATTATTAATTCTTGAATTCTGTAGGCCAAAAAAGGACTTCTTTCCTGGTTCTTCAAAGTTTCACAGTAACCTGGAATTTGGTGGGAGGAAGAGGGGGATGTGTGAAGCCTTTTTAGTGAAATTTGAAAACAAACACTTGGGGACTTTGAGTCACATTCCCTTAGTTACAGACCAGAAATCCTTTCCTGAGGTCAGATTTTGAAGAAATGGATGGAGGAATACAAGGGAGGGAGAAGAAAGGAGGGAAATTGGCTTCCCTCAAAGCTTGAATCCTCACTCACCAAATACTCTCTTCAGTTGAACCTTCTTTCCTTTTGCAGGGTGGGCTACAGGGGTGGGGAACCTATAGCATCCAGGCCACATGTGGCCTTCTAGGTCCTTGGGTGCAGCCTTTTGATTTGAGTCCAAGCTTTACAGAACAAATCCTTTTATTAAGGGGATTTGTTCTGTGAGGTTTGGATTCAAAGGGACACACTTGAGGACCTAGAGGGCCACAGATGGCCTCAAGGCAGCAAGTTCCCCACTCCTGCAGGAGTGGTATCCAGGTCCTAGCTCAAGTCCAACCCTCACCTTCATCTAAACCTAGAAAGTCTTCCTCAGCTATATGGGCCAGGCAGCAGACAGCACAGGACACAGCAGAGGATGGGGAGAAAACTTGGCCTTCAAGGTTTTTTGGGGGGAGGGGGAGGAGGGGGAGGAATTGGGAGCCTGGTAGGAAGCAGAAGTATAGGTAGGAACAGTGCCCATGGGGCCAGATTTGGAAAGGTCTGAAGAAATTAGCCGGATTAAGCAGTGTCTGAGTGCAAAGGTACCCTGCAGAAAAACTGCTCAGGGCGCAGAAATAAGGCTACAGTGACTGTTTACATACCCGAGTGGGACAGGGCGCTGGCCAAGTTGTTGCTAACCAGATTGCTAGAATGGAATTGAATTAAATAGACCCTGCCCACAGTGGAAAGAGGATTAGCACCGGCCCCCGCCCCAGGGCGGGCGGGGAAAGGCAGGTAGTACCTAAATTATAGTAATGAGCTGGGCTGTCCTAGGGCGCCCTCCCAGATTCTGGAAGAAGTGAGGCACTGGGGCTGAGATTAACACAGAGCGTACTGGCCTGGACGAGATAGGACACATGGGATAGGAGCGGACGGGACAGACGAAAACCAAAGGGAGAGACGCTGCTCTTCCCAAAGGCCTCGCCTGAGGTTTGCCGGAGATGCACCCTCGCCTATTCTAGGGTATCCCGCACCCTGTGGTCAACTAGAACCTAGGCCTCCATGGGGGTCCTCGCCTCGCACCCCACAGCGTCTGGGATCTGGCTGCTGTTTTTTTGTCTTTGGGTCCCTGAAGGTGAGCTGGAAGTTAGGAATGAAAGCCAGGGCGAGGGTCGGAGGAAGAGAGGACAAGACCTGGAGCTAGAGGCTTTTTAATTTGCTACCCTCTATTTTCAGTCACCAGGTCGACTCCCTTTAGCAGCCGCGCGGAGCTGCCGCCCTCTGGGACTGCGGAGAGCAGGTGAGTGGGGTGGGAGGTTGGGACCCTTACCAGCCACTCTTCTGGGGTGGTAAAGGTCCCTCCCGAGGGCACTCTGCAGGCACCTCTGCCTCCCCTCTCCTAAGGATTTTTGGACTTTTATCTGGCCCTGGCCACCTCGTTGGCGCGTCTGGGTGAGAAAGAAGCAGGGCCAAGTGAGGAGGGAAGGGCTGGTTTGGTCTGGGCGGGGGGCAACTGCTTAACGGCCTGTGCCTTAAACTAAGCTCAGCTAAGCTTCCCTTAGCCCAGAGTCTCTTCCCTCCCTAGTCTTGAAGACGCCAAACTTCGTCTGGGAGACGCCACTGCCGGCCGGGAAGAGCAGGTAAAGGAACAGCAGGGACACTGGTATGGGGTTTTTGGATGGGGGTGAGAGAAATCCTCTGCCGGAGCCTGCATCTCTCCATCTCTCTGTCTTGACCTGGAAAGAGGGTTGGTTAGTGATGTCCCTTCTACTGGACTAGGAAGGACGCTTAGAGAGAAGTTGGGGCATGTGGGTGATCTGTGCCAAAGAAAATCTTAGCTCCAGCTGAGGCAGACTGTCTAGGGAGGCTATAGGATGACATCTCCTGAACTGGGAAGGAGTTGAATTAGATGAAGCTCTAATGTCCCTTTCAGCTTCGAGATTTTGTAAACCAGGTCAATGGGACAGCAGGGCTGCTTGGGTGGTGTCATCTTGGGCCAAATAGATAGGACCTTTCCGACAACTGACGTTCAGGCTGGCCCAGGAGTCAGACAACGACAACCAGTTCCGCTGAACCTAGAAGCGGGTTTGTGTGAGAATGCCTGCGTGTGTGTATGGGGGTGGGGGTAGATCTACCCAACAGATGACAGACAATGGTTTTGGGGTATTCTAAAGAAGGAGCTAAAGGGAGAGGGGAGTGAGAACTCTCCCTTCATCTCTCTCTCTCTCTCTCTCTCTCTCTCTCTCTCTCTCTCTCTCTCTCTCTGTCTGTCTCTGTCTCTCTCTCTGTCTGTCTCTCTCTCTCTCTCTCTGTGTCTCTCTCTCTCTCTCTGTCTCTCTCCCTCTCTCTGTCCTCTCTCTGTCTCTCTCTCTCTCTGTCTCTCTCTCTCTCCCTCTCTCTCTCTCTCTCTGTCTCTCTCTCTGTCTCTCTCTCTCTGTCTCTCTGTCTCTCTGTCTCTCTCTTCTCTCCTCTCTCTCTCTGTCTCTCTCTCTCTGTCTCTCTGTCTCTCTGTCTCTCTCTCTGTCTCTCTGTCTCTCTGTCTCTCTCTCTCTCTGTCTCTCTCTCTCCTCTCTCCTCTCTCTCTCTCTCTTCTCTCTCTCTCTCTCTCCTCTCTCTGTCTCTCTCTCCTCTCTCTCTCTCTCTCTCTGTGTCTCTCTCTCTCTCTCTGTCTCTCTGTCTCTTCTCTCCTCTCTCTCTCTCTGTCTCTCTCTCTGTCTCTCTCTCTCTCTGTCTCTCTGTCTCTCTGTCTCTCTCTCTGTCTCTCTCTCTGTCTCTCTCTCTCTCTCTCTGTCTCTCTCTCTCTCTGCTCTCTCTCTGTCTCCCTCTCTCTGTCTCTGTCTCTCTCTCTGTCTCTGTCTCTCTCTCTCTCTCTCTCTCTCTCTCTCTCTCTCTCTCTCTCTCTCTCTCTCTCTCTCTCTCTCTCTCTCTTTCCTGACTGTCAGGGACACTACCCTGAATCCCAAGCTGGGCCTCTCTGCCCCACACTAAACTTCCCAGGATGCCTGGGATCCTTGCCTGAGATGCATGATAGAAAAGTAGGGCAATCTGGGGTAGGGGGCGATAGTTGGCAGCAGGTGCTGGTAGACTGTGTTTGTCTACATGGGTGAAACACACAGTGGAGCAATTATCTGAGTAATCCAGAACTTCCCTTCCTCTGAATTTCAACTATAGCCTGCTGAGTTTGGGGTGTGGCTTTCTTTGCTTTTTCTTTCTTCTTAAACATTTTGGTTGGTGCGGGTGGTGGTCAGAGAGCCAGGTGGCAAACTTGTTTCTACCACTGCCTTCCTTTGTCCGTTTCCTCTTCAAATTGTTGTCTGTCTATTGTTGATTTTTGTTGTCACACAGGAGTGAGACAGTAGGACAGAAGCAGTCACTCTCCAGCTGTCTTGATAGACTCAGTTTGCAGAGAAACCTCCAGTGTTCTGAGGTTGTCTTTGTCTGACTTTCTCTATGATGTTGAGAATGGGGAAAACACTATCTCCATAACTCACTTAAAAAATTATAACAGTCTACAAGAAAAGAAGGACTTTTAGAATATGAATCTTTGGACCAAAAGTTAGTAGAACTCAGTGCTGATTTTCCAACCGGTGACTAGTGGGTTTTTTCCCTTTTCCTCTACTCTAAGCACTTAGTCTCTCCTCACTATCCTCTGCTTCTAACAAAAGGAGAGAAATGTACAGTTATCCCTTCCCATCCTGGTTTTGACATATTGAGGGTTGGCAGAAGAAATTAATGGAAATTTTTGGGGAATTTTTCGGAAGCTGCAGATAATATGAAG